GTTGCGTATGGATCCACAAGCCACCACGAGGGGCGACATTTTCCATCGTGCTGAACGCAAAGCGGATGGTATCAAAGGGGGAGGGTGATGTCGCTTGATACCGCAGCCGCAGCACAGAATGCACAAGATACGCGTGACAGCGCAAACCAGTACAGTAGCATCCGTCTGGGGCAAAAAACACTCGACGCTGCCTGTCTGGCCGTCCCGAAGACGGGCCCGTCACTAGTGTCGGTCCAATCACGTGACGCAGATCGAATAACAACAATCAAGAATATTGTTCCTTGGTGGCACCCTAACCGGTGCTGGGTGCCCACCGCGACAGCAGTACCGGCAACATTGGCCAACACATTTCGGCACTAACCTTCCCGCCCACCCCCCGGGCCCCATAGGCAAGAGTACTAGGAAGGAACGATTGGCCATCGGTGATCTGTCCGGCGGGAACAATCTCCTTCGTCCTCTCGAGGACGGGTGGCCAACAGTCTTACCGCTTAAGGCATGAAAAACACGAGAACCCCCCCTCGTCCCTCTGCAGTCACTGGCAGCTCGCGGGCCTCCCTCAGAACCAAAACGAACCCGCCCCCCCCTCCTACACCAACCTTGCACCAAAGCTGCGGACGAACTCCGACGTGGAGCTCTTGAGCAGGTCTGTCCCCTCCTGGTGAAGCATGTCGCGATTCTTCTCGAGGAAACCCTCCGTATGATACACGATGTTGCCCGCGTAGTGGTGAATCATGAACTTGTAGTCCACCTGGCACCAAAACACGACATCATCGGCTTATCTAAAAACGCACACGAACCTTGTATGTATCGAATCATGAAATTGTGGTCTAACCGGCACCAAAACACAACTACATCGAGCCTTTCGTGACGCACTAGCGTTTGGTTTATCGGATCACGAGCTTGAAGTCCAAATGTCACCAAAACACACCGATATCGAACATTATTCAACACGCCAACATTTGGTTTATCCATGGCAGCTTAACCGATGCACCTTTGTGCATCACGCAAATAGACGAATACGTTTTCAACGAATACTGCTTTATATTGCGTAGACTCGACGGGCCGTAACAGCAGTATCTATCTAACACTCCACCCTTCCATCACTGACTGTCGGTGTACAACACGCGACCCCCCCCCCCTTCACGAGCGACGAAGCCGCCGGAGGCCCAGACCCAAACACTACATCCCGACTAACACAAAAACACAGATAATGCACCGATCCATCCTCCTCTAAAACTACTACAGTAATCGTCGCTGCAAGCTTGCGTATGAACGCGTACAGCGAAGAAAGAGGGTGTCAATCTTGACACAAGGTGCGTTCTAATTAAATCAACAATTTTTTGTTTTTCAAAGGCCAAGTCAAGTGACGCATTTTTGGAAATCTCTCGACGAGACGGCGCGCCGCCGTTTTCTTCGGCACATGAGCCACTGCCTGCAGAGTCATCGCTGTAGCGTACCTTGTCGGCGTGAGGTACGCTAAACGGCTTGTGCTGCGTGAGGCGGTTGTACATGTTGGACGCGAAGGACTTGTCGGTTCCCTTGGGCACGAGACACTGCTCGTCGAGGAGGGCCAGGATGCCCGCCGGCTTGGCTTCGATCAGGGTGATGCTGTTCGCGGGTTTGAAGACGAGGAGGAAGAAGGGAGCGATGATCAAAACACCAAGACGGAGCAATAATCAAAACAACACAAGAAGGGAGCGATGATCAACACAACAAGAGGGAGCGATCGGGGATCGAAGCGAAAGATGCTGGAGAAAGTTGAAGAAAATCAATACTTAGTGCTAAACAGGGGAGACCCGTGGGATAAGGAGGGGGGGGGGGTACAGCTAGCCGTCTGCTGGAACAACCCCCTCTGTCGGGGAAGCCCGATGGCTTTAGTTCGCGCCTTCTATCCTGCTGCTAACAAGACAAGGCCTTTCCTTTCGTTCGTTCGTTCGGCCGGCTAGCACGGTCGATGCTACAAGAAACAAACACAAAACACACACACAGACAGCGTGTTCCGCGATTTTGTTAGCACTGTTCAGACGCTGACTCTCTTCATCGTTTGATAGCCGAAGCACACCACATCAACACAAAGAGACACAGACACTGGGGTGGGCGCACCAGTGCCTGTTGTCGGCAAAATCGGCAGCTTACGAAAGAAGCAAACACATCCATCGCACACGAACTCACAGCCACGCGGGCAGACGCACCAGTCCTTGTTATCGGCAACCTCGGCAGCTTACGAAAGAAGCAAGCACATCCATTGCACACGAAGACTCAAAGCCGCACGGGCAGACGCACCAGTCCTTGTTATCGGGCAAAATCGGCAGCTTACGAAAGAAGCAAACTCATCACACACACAGACTCAAAAAAAGCCACACGGGCGGACGCACCAGTCCTTGTTATCGGCAAAATCGGCAGCTTACCAAAGAAGCAAACACATCCATCACACACGAAGACTCAAAGCCGCACGGGCAGACGCACCAGTCCATGTTATCGGCAAAACCGGCAGCTTACGAAATAAGCAAACACATCACACACACAGACTCAAAAAAAGCCACACGGGCGGACGCACCAGTCCTTATTGTCAGGGAACTCGATGAAGTCCCACTTGATGCCCTCGCTGCGGTACTCCTCCTGCTCCACCTCGAACACGAACTGGTTGAACTGCTGCTGCAGCTTCTCGTTCGCGTAGTTGATCAAGAACTGCTCGAAGTAGTTGTGCTCGAACGACTCGAATCTGGAGGGTTGAAGTTTAAGAGGTATGGAGGTATGTAGTTACAAGATAATCATGAAAGTTAAGCACAGGGTCTGAACAAAACACATCGTTCGCAATGGAAGTGTTTTCGCCATACGTAGCGTGTTTTCGCCATGCGTAGCGTGTTTTTGGTTAATTTCAATATAGAGATATCTGCGTAGTATTTGTTGGGTCGTCTGTCTGCTACGAATTTCATTATTACAGTCTTCGCATGTGTAGAAACTGGGTTGCCCGCTGTTGGTAAATAACAAGAACCCCAAAGAAGAAAAAAAAACGTCAACAACGACCAAAACAAAAAGAACGAGGAATAACGAAACAAGAGCGATAACAGCAAACTCACCCCAAGATATCGAGGAGACCAATCAACATGTTCTTGTCGTTCGCATGTGCAGCAATTGTTGGGTTGTCCCCTGTTGGTAAAATGACAAGAACCCCAAAACAATGTCAACAACAACCAACACACAAAAGAACGAGAAAAAACAAACGAAACAAGAAAATGCCAACAACAAACTAACCCAAAGATATCCAGGAGACCAATGAACATGTTCTTGTCTGGAACGGCATCGCCTGCCCCGCCGCCCCCGACGACGCTGTTAAAGGTCTTCCCCCCCGCCGTCGTCGACACGGGCTTCGGAGACTGAGACTGGCCCCAAGCGAAGCTACTGCCGGGGCTGGAAGGGCTCGTCTCCTCGCGGTTCCTCCCCCTCTGCTTGTCGATCGTGTGGTTGATCTGTGGCGAAACGGCGGCAGCGGAAGATCGACGCCATTGGCACGGTGCAAGACAAACATATGTTCAGGTAGGTAAGAATCCTACTCTAAAATCTGCATCGTCGTCGCTGTTGGGTACCCCACCGGGAACTGTATACGTAGACGGAAACCTTCCTAACCCCAACATAGTCGGTTCTATACTGTTTCCACGATGATTGCGTACTTAGACAAACCTGCGTACTGTAGACTACTACTCACCGGGCAAAAAACGCGCATCTCGGGTACCACAATTTTTTTTTGACAAGATTGTGACAAGTCATGTCGCCTTATTAAACACTCGCCTTGGCGACGAGCCAGTCGAACAATCCCGAGTAGATGGACTTGCACAACGCCTCTCTCAGGTGGTAGCACTTCTTGGCGTCCAGGTACACCGTGAACCACTCATGCCCCGCCTGTACCGCGGCAAGAAGAAACAAACGAACAAAACATGTTGTGAGCGCATCTTGTTCTCGCGAAAAAAAAAAAACATGGAAAGCGGCAAAAGAAAGCCTGAAAGGACGTCGTCGGGCGAGAGAAGAGAGACAAAAGCGTAGGAGCAAAGTTCGAAACATCATGACGTGTAGGGCAGGTCTCAGACATATGGTAGCACGAGGGGAAATATCGGCCTAGCCTTCGTGCAGAATCCACTCCTTGTTTCGTCTCATGCACACGTGTCCACAAAGCCGAGGTGGGCAAACGCGCCACAAAAGAGCAACAACAACAACACCAGAGCAACAACAACATTGCAAAAATAGCCACGATGACGACAACGACAACTATTGTCACAGGTGTAGAGATGGCACCCCGCCACACACATTTTCAAAGAAGTTGAGTTGCTCCACAACCAAGCTTGTCTGTACCGTACCGTACTCCGTACCGTGGTACGCCGTAAGAGGCGGAGACATGGCACCCCCTCTACACCCATTTCAAAGAAGTAAAATTTGCTCCACAACCAAGCTCGTCTGTACCGTACCGTACTCCGTACCGTGGTACGCCGTAAGAGGCGGAGACATGGCACCCCCTCTACACACATTTTCAAAGAAGTTAAGTTGCTCCACAACCAAGCTTGTGCCAACACGCTGCAGCAACAACGGCGGTGGCTTTGGAAACATGTCGAGGGTTTCCCGTTGTCGTACCGGGCGTTTTCACAGCACAGCACAGCACAGCACAGCACAGCACCCACTGGGTTGTGGAGCAATCGAGCCATTTAAAAGTCGGTATAAGGGGCGTGCCATCTTTGTCGCTTACGATACAACAACAACAACACCAGCAGCAAAAACAACCACCGTATTCCGTGGATGCCTCGTCTGGGCCCTCCCCTCACCTTGATACGGCGGAAGGACATGGCGTTGACCAGCGTTACCGGATCCACGCCAAGCAGCTCGGCAGCGCGCCTTGCGCCACGCAAAGAGGACAGACATCGGGGATGGGCGACGGATTACCATGAGTACATAACACACACAAACCCGAGTACACTCATTTACGTAATCTCACGTTCGAATGCGTAAGCTATGTCTGAGGAAGATAGCCAAACACTTCTAGCGGAGACGGGCGAAACTAAACAATCAATGAAGTAGCAAAAGCAAGGAAGTGCGGAAACAAAAGCAGACCGGTCAAAAACACAGCAGCCGACGCGTAAATCAAGCAACTAAAATAATAACAAAATAACAAGAAAAAAATAAATAAAAGCATGGGAATACGAACACAGCCGCAGACGGGTACCAAAAAAAACATGCGAAACATTATTGTACGAAAAAAAAAACTTTACAGTACCTGGCATATTCCTTAGCGTCCGCCTGCTCGTCTAAGACCCCCACCACTTCGGTGGTCTTGTCGTTGTCAAGCACATCCCGGAACTTGACGTTGCCGCAGTTCAGCACGCCCGCCACGGCCTTGAACACCTGCGACATGTCCTCGTCGCTAACGTCCATTACCTGCGAGAGGTTGTTTCGATTTGGTGCATGAGTTTTGATATGGCATGTGTTGCGAATGCCACCTCAGACTGTCGTAGGTTGTGACGTCAGATGACCTGTCGGAGATCTACCATCGGCGTTTGCCACAGATACAGTCAGTGTATGATGGACGCTGAACCCTGCTGCAACAGGGAATCCCCCCCCCTGACACAAAACTCAACTATCGGTACTCTTCAGTCTCTCCACAAGAGGTTGAACCGGTTTGTATCCACACCTCACATCCCAAGGGGAACTTGGCCACTCGTGAACCTGGAGACATCAGTTTCACATGTGTCTTTTTTGTGTTCTACCATGCCATTATTAGCATCCACCGCGGTAACCAGTGACCAACGAAAAGACGTGCGGTTAAACACAGAAGATGCTTCGAAAGGCCATGATCTGGGACCCCGTGAGGCATTTGCGTTCCTGTTTGGCGGTATCTGCTCAAGTTGTATTTTTCTTTCAGCAATTTTCCCGCATGTTTTTGCGACAGCACAGCAAGCAATACGAATCATTGCCCAGCGACGAGCACCCCAATATCCTGTCCAGTAAATCCCCGCATCACGCCTCCGTATCATCGACCGACAGCCGACCGCCTCCCCCCTGTTTTCTGAGCGCCAGTCTGAATCTACTTTCCGGTCCATGTTTGACGCACCAGACGGATAATTCAAGAGACGGAGCCCAACTACGCGTCTGAATACCCCAGCGGTGCGTCCTTCAATTGTTGAATTATCGCAACAAGGGCGCAGCAGTCCCTTTCCTTCCTTCGTTGCAATGCGTTCCTACTCCCAACTTTGTAATTTCCACTGCTGCAAAGCTGTGAGCTATTCTTCTTCTCCGGAGGGAAATTCAGACATTTTGAGCCAAGACCTACAAGGTTGCCAACTAGATAGATCATCAGCCACTCTGCTGTAGTACTCCGCTACATCTGTAGTTGCCCGATACGTCCTCCCCAAAACCAAAACACCAAAAAACAAAATCACACACACAACACACCAATATTCATGTCCTCCTCAAAGCCAAAACCCAACATCAAAAAGCAATATATATACATACAGAACCCAACGACCGACACCTTCATGGCCTTGTTGAGCTCCGTCCAAAGGTCCGAGTCCATCACGCCGTCCCTCCGCTCGTAGCAGCTGCTCTGGTTGATGTAGTGGTACACCCGCGGGTCCGGCTGCAGGTGGAGGGCTGCCTTCTGCTCGTCGCTCGTGCCGGCCAGCATGAGGTAGAAGATGTGGAAGTTGCGCTCCCCCTCCGAGGTGTGCACCAGCCGGATCTTCTCCAGCAGGAACGTTCTGCGGAACGGACCGGATCGCGGACGGAGAAGATAACAACGAAACAAGAGGGAGGGAGAGAGAGAGAGAGAGAGAGAGAGAGAGAGAGAGGCAAGTGGGAAGTGTGACTATTAGGTCGTGTACAAGAGAGGGTGAAGAGAGGTATGCCATCGGCACGGGTGCAACGGTCCGCACTTCCGTCCTGGCAAATAGACTTGAACCGCCGCCCGCCCGCTGCCCATTTCTACAACCTTGTTGTGTTTCGCTTTAAAACATTTGGGGCGTCTTCGCTGCACAAGGATTTTTTTCGTTGCAGGCTTGGCACGCACACCAACACTGTTCGCGATCGTAGGGGTAACCGAAGCATGAGCAGGCCGAAAAAGGAACGAGGGCGCCGCGCGAGCGTGTGGATGTTGCAAACGTTCGTCCGGGTGTCAAAGGTGCGCTCACCACGCTCTTACGAGCGCACGCCATGAGACACTCGTGCACACAGTAGCCTTCGCAGGGTTTTTCTACTAAGTCAACATATTCGATCAAGCATACAATCGGGGATGTAGGGTTAGTGTTAGTGTTAGGGAATACGGTCTGCGTTCCCCCTACCTGTCCTATTTCCTCATAACCTATTCATCTCGCGAAGGCGGTCCCATGCCCCCCCGTCCCCCCCCCCGTCCCCTGTCCTCTCTACCACTTGTGTCGTTTTTCCGCCTCCTGGTGTTCTCCATGTCAAACGGGATGCGTCCCTGAATTGATTGGTCCCAACGACCTCAAAAGAAACTCCCCCACCCTTCCCTCTATTTCTCCCGTTGCACCCCCCCCACCCACCCCCCCACCTCCGGCCTGCGTTCTGACCTAATGCCCGCCCCGATGAGGAACCCGTCCTTGTCGAAGTCGATCTGGATGAACTTGCCGAACCGCGAGGAGTTGTCATTTCGCACCGTGCGGGCGTTTCCGAATGCCTCGAGGATGGGATTGCTTTGCAATACCTGGCAGGCCAAAGACGGCCAACGTTCGTGCACGCTTGTGAGTGTTTCTTGAGTAAACAGCATTGACCACGCGCGCTACACTGTAGCCGCCTCGACTAATGAAAACACGTCGGTCTCGTGTGCAGCGGGAACAAAAGCGCCACATGTAAGCAACTAGTCATCGGGCGTGTTTGCGTGTGCATCGTGGTATGCATATGTGATTGCTATTGCGATTTCTGTTGCGATTCGCAGTTTTGACCACGGCTAACTAACCTGCTGTTCGATCGACTTGACGGAGTCGTCTCCTGCCAAAAGCGCTTCCGAATCGTGCCCTCCCAGGATGGCCAGGTACTTCATCACAATCTTTGTTGTCTCGGTCTTACCCGCTCCGGACTCCCCGCTCACCTTGACAAAACAAAAAACAAACAAAAAAGTGATCACGAAATCACTAAATGAAAGAGAAAAACACGAATTGGTGGGCGATGAAGAAAACGAAACCGAAAAAAAAACAAAACATCCTCGCCCGTTCACCACGAAGTACAACATCGCAAGAACAAACACCATCTCAAGCGATGAAAGAAACCGTAAGGGGAGGGAGGGTACATGAGAAGGGCCACAGCTTGTTCATGTTTACAAAACAAAATGCGTCCGTGCCCTCCCCCCCTCTCCTGCCCCTGTCCCGCTCTGTCTCTCTCTCCGCTTCCCCCTCCCCCCCATTGCCATTGCCCTCCCACTACTCGCTCTCAATAGATGGTCACCAGGATGGACTGATTCCTCTTCTGGTTCTCCGAGGTCGGGTTGTTCATCAGCCGGTAGGCGTCGTCTGCGATGGCGTACACGTGGGGGGGGAGCCGGGACAGGTAGTCCGGGTCGAAGGCCTTGGCCTTACCCTCCCGCCGGTACTGTTCGAGAATCTCATTCGTGTACCTTTTTAATTCGCGTACGAAAAAAGGGCGGACGGGAGGCCACGGTGGCGGCGGCGATGGAAAATTTCAGTGACTTTATCAGGAAACACCAGTCTTTGCACAACAGTCTACCCCACGACACAAGCAAACAACAACGCTTCTTCGTGTACGAACAAGTGTACCTGCGAGTGTTGTGTTTGTGGGGACAATTCAAATCCAAATAGAGTAAGCTGAGCACCACAACGAACACCCCCAAAATGTTCAAAGTTGCCAGAAGGACCGGCGGTGGAGAAAGACGGAAAATACCAAACGATACACAGACAAGAAAAATGTAGTCAATACAGAAGCACATATGGCAGACAGACAAACAGACAGACAAAAGTAACAATGGTGCCGTCGTCAACTACAAGAGATCTGACTCCGGATATCCGGACGCAGAAACGATATTCCAAGTCTCCCCCCCTGCCATCGGGAATGGGTTTTTGTCGCTTGGCAACGACGTAGTAAAACAAGCCAATTCACTTCGTACACTCGGCCATCAGGTTAATGTTTTGTATTTTTTACCTCTGTTTTTTTTTGGCGGTAACCATAATGGTGGTCGAGTAGACCATGTTGTGCAGGGTGGAGAACCCTCGCTCCGCGCAAGCGGCATGATCGCACCACGTTGTGTTCAAATGGTCAAGCACCCTCGAGGCAGTTACACAGAGCTTATGACTGTTTCTGGAAATGAAACACCAGAAAAGATGTTACGTCATACGCAGCTGTCAGCCGTACGCAAGGAAGTAAGCACAAGATGNGGAGAACCCTCGCTCCGCGCAAGCGGCATGATCGCACCACGTTGTGTTCAAATGGTCAAGCACCCTCGAGGCAGTTACACAGAGCTTATGACTGTTTCTGGAAATGAAACACCAGAAAAGATGTTACGTCATACGCAGCTGTCAGCCGTACGCAAGGAAGTAAGCACAAGATGCCGAACACCCTTAGCAGGATGCAGCGCACCCTTCATGCGACTCGCCGAATATCTCACGGCGCTTCGCGCTTGGTGATGTGAGAGCCTGGTCCGGTGAGAACCCNGATGAGAAAATGTTCCAGCGGTTCAAGTTTCCGCTAGGACCGAATGCTGCTCTTTGTTTGATTCCCAGTGGCCGCCCCCGCTGTCAGGAGACCCGGCGAATGAGAAAATGTTCCAGCGGTTCATATTTCCGCTAGGACCGAATGCTGCTTCTTGGTTGATTCCCAGTCAAACAAACACCACTCCAAGGATCAGCAGACGAATCACATCAATCCGGTTAGTCCGGCCCCAACAAACTGGTCAACCGGGATGAGCCGGCAGGCGGGAGGCGCGACCATCTACACCGACCGCACAACGAGGTCAATCCCAAGGAATTGCCTACGTTGCGTAAGATACCACGCCCCCTGCACCACTGTTCAAATCCCGACCACCACTAGTCTACACAGCAGCAGGCAGCGACGGCACGGTAAAGAGCGGCGTTGGAAGTGTCTCATGGACAGATTTTCGGTAGATGTGTGATTCGGTTACGGCATCCTTCTTCGTTGTTGGGGAATCAAGTGGTTGGAGTCTAGATAGGTTCCGAGGAAGTTGGATATCAAGCGACACTATGGTGGGAAAGACGGCCGGGGATAAGAGAAGCATGCCACGGAAAATAATACAAGTACGCTTGAACTGCCTGCTGTTGTTCAGATCGCAGCAACTTCATTCCACGCTAGAAACGATCACCTCGGTTGCGTCAGAGAAAAGTTGAATAGCGACTGAATGCACGAAGCGATCGGATAGACTGGTCCAGTAGAAGACCAATGGTAAATTATGCACTGCAACATTGAGCCGGCAGACCGGTGGCGTGAAAATAGGGCGCCATGTAGAGAGTCAAAAGAAATAGGCCAGTGCACCGCCAGCCTGATGAAAGCAACCGAACCCAAAACCAGAATCCAGAGGTGGGTGCATACATCAACAGATCGGGAGGCGCAAAACAGTAACACACACAAAATCATCGCGAGGAGAATCTGCCTAGATTTGTGACAATCAACCCGGACTACAAATAACCCTAACCATATTACACACACATAAAAAAAAGCCATACGTAGATCACACACATAATCATCGCAGGAAGTATTGCGTAGATCGACCAACCCGATCTGCAACCTTGACCCTATTACATTACAAAAAAAATAGATAAAACAGGATCAATAACACAATTCCACACACAGAGGTAAGACAGGACGGGACACCGATGCGAATCCAAGAAGAAAACAAGAGCAACTCACAGCGGTACCCTCCAGAAGGGGTTGATGGCCAGGAGGATGGGGCCCGTGTAGGTGTAAATCACGTCCTCGATGTACCGCTGGTGGAGCGTGTAGAGGATGGCGGGCTCGTGCAGATGTGTCAGCACGATAAGGTCATCCACCCCCGGACCTTCTTCGATACTCGCCTGCTCGCCGCGCGCGCGTTTCGAAAAACCCAAGCCATCCCCCGGAAGACCCCCCCCCACCCCCCAACCATGAGCCACGAACCACGTCCACAGAGCAATTGTAACGCCGGGCAAGCGTATTGACGCCAAGACACATAAGCGGGATGATTGTCAGGCCCGCCCATCCGTCCGTTCGCCGGTCCAGCGATAACCGGTTCGCAGCGCGGCGATGGAGTTGTGGAACGCGCGCCGTTGCGTTGTTGATTTTTGTTCACCGCGAGGCAAGCACAGGCAGCGACGGAATAATTTCCGGTTGGGTGTGCGTACAGCAGACGCCAGAGTAAGAGGGAGAGGGAGAGGGAGGGGGAGAGGGGAAGAGAGAGATACAGACAGAAAAAGGAACAGCAATAACCGTGAGCCAGAAGGAGACCAGAAACAAAAGGGACTGCCCCGAGCTCTACTCCGCTCAACTAGCAGAGCGGCGGGGATTGGCCTCCAAGGAAACCATATCAGCCTCAGCCACGTTCGACTAATCGCACACGATGCTCAGGTTGCGGTGGGAGCTTGGCGAGAATCGATACGGTGGTACGTGTCGAGAGAAAGAACTAGCGGTGTGACATGGAAAACTCATTGAAAAAAAAATCACGCCCGATGTGTTGGAGGCACCGCAGACACGGACACACATCGCCAAGCATGCAGACACGCGACACAATCCCATGCGAGCACCAGCAGCAGCAGCAGCAGCCGTAACAGCAGTAACATCGAAGGAAGCACCAGTGCCAATGATACCGATATCAACACCAACAGCAGCAGCAGCAGCAGCAGCAGCGACACCAGTAGCAACAACGACTACAGAGTGGCAACAACATAGGCAAAGAACACGCACCCCGCCTTGGCCCTTGACGTTCCTCAGCTTGAGATGCTCCGTGCCCTCTCCCTCGTCCGCCTGGGCAGCCGTCAGCGTGTATACCTTCTCCTCCTTGTCGTCGAGCACCACCTGCACAGTAGCAGAACGCGCATAATCCACCCATGTGTCGAAACGCGTAACAACATACAGCAGTACCAAGCACATACAACCACGTACACCAAGCGACCACCCGTGCGTTTAAGTGCGGAAACATGCAGCAGTATTGAGCATGTACGACACACTCACCAGAGACAAAGAGAGGGAGTTGAAGATGCACTCGGCTTGAAGAAAAACACAGCGTTAGCACCGTTCGTTTCAAAAGACCGTTTATTCCTACTAATCGAAATCGCGGTTTTTACGATTCTCACGCCGCCCCACGCAACGAACACCCACGAGAAAAGGAGAGCCCTCAGATGCGCCCGCAGGCGAGGGAATGCCGTATCACGCGATACGCAACATCACCACAAGTGGTCACAACATTTCAACGCCACCACAGGTTTAGGTGGTCACCACCGTGTTTCGGCTTCTAAAACAAGGAGGTCACCTGGTGTGTTCGTACGGCTACAGCATCTGCCGCCCTATTGTTGCTGGATCTGAGAGGATGATACGTTTCGAAATAACCAACAACGGTGACCCGGAAAAAATGCTACATGTATGATCGATCGGGTGCGGTTCTGTGTTGGAGGGTGTTTTGACTTGCGTCGCCTACGGGTAGCCTTTTCAATCGTCGCTCTTACGTTACTCCTGCACATCAGGCACGGACACACACACATAATAACGTTTGGAGCCGAGGCAAGTGCGCACAACGCGTATCTGGCGTTGGTATGGACGTCATGCACAACGGGAACGCCGTACTCTTGAATACCAACGCTTCCATCGGTTGGGCAATTTGGCACGGATATCGAAGGTCGGGAGGGAGACCAATGTCGACACCTCCCCCCTCCTCATCATCAACGACCAATCCGTCATGTACACCAAAAGAACCATCAAAAGGACGATGATGGAACCAACCCGAACGACCCTCGGCCGTATGCGTACGTGCTCGGCGTTGGCGTGCTGTTCGCCTCTGGCTACACGGAATTCACGCTCGCGTCGGGCGATCATGGCCCGGGATACGGCGACACCCTAGAGAGCAGTGCTTCGCACGAATAACTTACAAAGAGCCGGCACTAATAAAATTCAAAACAGCACAAATCCGACACCGCGCACACGCGTGTACCACGACCAACGTAACTATCGCGATTGCAACTGAATAGGGCGACACGATTGGAGACCTCGGGGG